TGCTGAAATGTGGAAAACCAGTTCAGAAAATCCAAAAAATGGATCGGGTTTTATTGAAAATATAAATTAACAAAAAACAAATGGCCCAGAACTAGATTTTTGCGAACAATATAATAGACATCATATTCTCGATACTGCAAAACATAATTTTTTTTATTGATTCATATAAAACAAAAAAAAACAACAAAAAAAGTGAAAACAACAATGAAAAGGAAATTGCTACAACTTCTCAGGCAATTTAACTATTGTTAATTAAATAATTTCGATATTACATTCACGTAAATCAAATGGATAACCATTCTTAAATTCGATGTTTGCTAATTTAACTTTATAAAGTAATTCGAGTAAAAATTCTTTAGTAATTGCTTCAATGATATTATTGTTCTTATCGAGAACAAATTTATGTTGTTTCAAGAATTCTCGATGTTTTCTATCAAGAAGAGCATTTTGCTTATCATTTAACTTAATTTGAGTATATTCGGTAATATACCCATCATTGTCAGGATACATGATTGGTCTACGAAAATTTGTATTGTCATTTTCTCTGAACCACCAAAATTGTTCTTTTTTACTTAAAACAACATCTTTGTTAATTGAATCTTGAGTATCGATGTCTGAATTATTTAACGATTGAGACATTTTTGAAAAGAAAATTACATAAATAAAAATCTAATCGGTTTTAAACTGATTAGATAATAATTAGACAATTTTTCAGGTTCCAGCCTGAAAAATTGTGGTATACCCTCTTATAATCTTGGACGATTGCTCTGCGCTTTTTCATTCTTCAGAGAAGAACCAAGCTTTTTATTTTTTCATCAGTTGTTTCTTATGATATAACAAACGCCTCGATTTGATGATAAACAAATTACAACAAGTTGTAATTTGTTTCTAATCAAAATCTCATTTTTGTTATATCTCAGAAACAAAATTAAGTTCATTTTTGGTTAAAAAATTTTTTAATGATAAAATAATAAAATAAAAATACATGATAAACTATTTGTGTTCTTTTTGTTTCAATGATAAAATAATAAAATAAAAAATACATGATAAACTATTTATGTTCTTTTTTTGTTTCATTCCACATCGATACGACTAATTTAAACGCATCTTTATGACCTAAATCTGGTCTATTTTTTTTAACAACGGATAAATTTGCTTTCATAAAAGCATTATATGGAGATAATTTTTTGCTCTCATTCATTTTAATTGCAGCACCTTGTCTAGCTAATTTGTCTGCTAATTCATTTCCAGTTATACCTTTATGTCCAAAAACATGTGTAAAATATACCTCTCCAGGTCTTTTAGACAGTAAAAAATCAATCTTTTCGAATAAATCTTTGTTTTTTACATCACATTTTTTAACTGTTTTCTATCCAATTTTTTTCCATTTATGAATCCATGTTTCAAGAGAATTGACAACAAAACGGCTATCCGATTTGATCTCAATTACTTTGATTTGATTTTCACATATTTCTAATGCACGAATTACTGCATATAGTTCCGCACGATTGTTTGTTTGTAAATCTCCAGGTAAAGGTTCAGTGATTTGTTTACTTCCATCTTCATAATAAACTCCAATACCGGCGTATGATCCTTTTTGATTATTCTTATGAGAACCATCTGTGTAAATAACTATTTTATCATCACAATTTAATTTTTCTTTCTTTCTTTTAATTCTCAGTTGATATCTTTCAAATTCTTCATTAGCTTCTTCAATTGTTGGAAATTTTTTATAATATGATGATGTAAAGTTGTTCACTTGTTCATCACATTCCTCTAAAGTATTATAAACACCTGGAGTGCGACCAATTAGAACAACATAATAATATTTTAAAGGCATTCTGAAGAACGAAAAAGCGCATGAGCGATCGTCCAAGATTATAAAGAGGGAAAGTAAGAGTTAGTATAACAAGCAAAATTGAATTTCAGACATATATACGAGTTGGGATCCTCCTCTTACCTGACTGAAATATTATAAAGAAATTGCGTAAAGAAAGATCTAATCGGTCTTTGACTGATTAGATTGTTTATTGGAATTGAGAAAAATTATAAAGATAGATGTGAGACAGACTACTGATAGACAAAGGGAGAAGGCTTTTGCAAGTTTAATCGAACAGAAAGATAGGTTTGAACCGATTTCTAACGAAACAGTTAATTCCATATAAAAATAGAAAAGATTTTTCTGGGAGTTTATATAGATTTTAATAAATAAAAAAGGAACTAAATACAGAAAGTGTGATCTTCAAGATTTAATAAATAAATATTATAACAGTTCTTGCAAATCTCGTGACGGTGGTATTTTGTATTTCTTATTTTAGATGAACACTCAGAATTTCAAAATTATATAATTAAAAATTTAACTGTTAAATGAAAATTACAGAAATAAATTTCCATTCGGTAAATAAACTGAACGGATTTATATTATACAAAATAACTAAGATTATCGGTATATGAAATAATCGAATTTAATGATAATAAATGCTCTTGGCATTTTTTACAATTTCTTACAAAATATGCTATATATCTTCCTATAGTATATTCTGATTGAACTGTTTTTAATTTATC